GAGAGACTCCATCTCAAACAAACAATGGAAGAATAAGTACCTAAAAATGGCTGCTAGTGGGGGAAGAAAAAATTGGGAAGGAATTAGAGAAGAAAATTAGATCTGTAAATGTAATCAGTTCACAGTAATGACTTTGGAACTATGTAAATATTTTATGTAACTAAACAAATAAAAACATATGTAACTCCCCTGCTTCCCCAGCAAACAAAAACAAATGAACATTGTTCTGTATCAACCAGATAGTTTTACCTACATAGTAAAGGATTTTTGAAACTGGTTTTTCAATCACAATATTGATTGTGCATACCTAGTATGCTATATTATAAGCACAAAAAAGCTTATATTGCATTCAGTGGTATGTTCTTAATGGTATGTTGGTATTTTGAAACTATTCAGATTTCACGTGAGGTAAAACAAATAGATACTTGTGGCAATATCATTAGGCATAGGAATTCCCAGGATAATGATGAAGGAAAGTTCCTGCTTGTAGCAGGCTTGAAAAGGTTTGGAGCTGGAAGGAGGACTTCAGATTTCGAAGGAGGATACATCTGAGGGCACAAATGTAAAACTCTTTGATTAGCTGATATATTCGAACATATTGAAAAGGATTTGCAGTTCTGTTGGAAAGTGATAAATACTTAAAAACTAAGCAGATTTTTAATGTAGGCAACTGTTAAATTTGAGAATGAACTTGCTTGAGAAAGGAAATAGTGTACTATGCTCTGCAGCTCAGTTGTGAATATTATTAAATGTTCATAATATATAAATATATATTTGTTTCATTTATCAAATTTCCAACTAAATTTATAAATTTGTTGGAAAACTAAGATAAATGTCAGGAGGATAAGGAGGGAAAGAGATTTTTGGCATGGGTGCTTGCCTACATTTTCCACTGTAAGGCTGGGCATGTAATTCTTGTGTTTTATAAATCTTGGAATGTTATAATTTAAAAAGATAATGTTATATTTAAAAGTTTACATATTAGTATAAAGTAAACTGAGTATATTTATTAATATTATAGGCCAGGGTAAATTATTTTAGTCTGGGCATGGTGGTCCATGCCTGTAATCCCAGCACTCTGGGAGGCTGAGGCAGGAGGATCACTTGAGGCTAGGAGTTCAAGACCAGTCTGAGCAGCATAGTAAAAACCCTGTCTTTTTATTTTTTTGAGGCAGGGTCTTGCTCTGTCCAGGCTATAGAGTGCAGTAGTACAAACACATGTCACTTCAGCCTTTATCTCCTGGGCTCAAGTAATCCTGCCTCTTGAGTAGCTGGGACTACAGGTGCATGCCACCACACCCAGATAGCTTTTGCTTGTTTTGGAACTCATGGATTCATGAATAGGCAGTATCAGTTGAGCGAGCAGCTCAGTGCTCCATAGAAGGGGCAGGAGTGGGAAACTTGTATAAGGTGTTCTTGGCATCAAGACAATGGGAAGTACCTAGTTAGAGGCTAGTTGGCAGTTTCTGATTCATATAGTCACGAGAGGTTAGCTGTTGGTTTCTGAACAAGTTTGGTATCTTTTTGCTTAAGTAGGAACCCAAGGTGCTATGGCTGTCTCAGCATAGTGGCCTCTCAATTAATAATAATGGTGATGATGATTTTGAGATGGAGTCTTGCTCTATCGCCAGGCTGGAGTGCAGTGGCGCAACCTCAGCTCACTGCAACCTCCGCCTCCTAGGTTCAAGTGATTCTCCTGCCTTAGCCTCTGGAGCAGCTGGGACTATAGGCATGTACCACGATGCCCAGCTAATTTTTATGTTTTTAGTAAAGATGGGGTTTCACCATGTTGGCCAGGATGTTCCTGATTTCTTGACCTCATGATCCGCCCACCTCAGCTTCCCAAAGTGCTGAGATTATAGGTGTGAGCCAGTCTCCAGCTGCCAATTAATTAATTATTTTAATAGAGATTAAAAAGACTAAAAGTTAAGGCTCCATCCTTGACTTTTTTTTTAAAAAAAACTAACATTCCTTTAATAAATTGTGTTATTTCTCTGTTCTACATCTCAGAGCTCTGTTGTCTTCTTTTTGTCTTCTTAGTTCAAGCCATCTTTATTTCCTAAGGTCATTTCAGCTGCTTCCTAATTGTTCCTCCTGTCTCTGAGGGCGTCTTCTCATTTTTGTTGAAGAGGTCTCTCCGCCATGAACTGAAAACTCAGGATGCTTAAGCATTTAAAAAAGTGTGAGGGAAACACATGTACAATTAACACATTAAGTGAATAATTATGTAACCACCACTTAGGTCAAGAAACACACATTGCCATTACCCCCAGAAGTTTCTGGTGTGCTATATTTTTATCTTTTTCCTTCTCCCTTAGAAGGTAACCATTTGCCCAATGTGTGTGTGTGTGTGTGTGTGTGTGCGCGCGTGTCTCAGGGTCTTGCTCTGTCACCTAGGCTAGAGTGTAGTGCTGCAGTCATGGCTCACTGCAGCTTTTACCTCCTGGGTTCAAGTACTCCTCCAGCCATACCCTCCTGAGTAAGCTGGGACTATAGGCATGTGCCACCATGCCTGAATATTCAAGTTTAAAAAAATTTTTTTTCGTAGTGACAATGTCTCCCTGTGTTTCCCAGGCTGGTCTTGAACCCCTGAACTCAAACAGTCCTACCACCTTAGTCTCCCAGTGCTGGGATTACAAGTGTGAGGTACTGCACTTGGCCTGCTCCACTTTTTTTTTTTTTTTTTTTTTTTTAATTTTTTATTGCATTTTAGGTTTTGGGGTACATGAGCAGAACATGCAAGACGGTTGCGTAGGTACACATATGGCAGTGTGTTTTGCTTCCTTTCTCCCCTTCACCCACATTTGGCATTTCTCCCTAGGCTATCCCTCCCCTGCTCCACTTTTATGTTAACAGTTCCTTCATTTACTTTATGGCAAATGTTTTAACTTAGCTTTATCTGTTTTGGGACTTTGTTTGAAAGGAATGGTGCTGGTATATTTTATTTCTTCCTGTCTTCATTTAACGTTGAAGGGGTCATCCATGTTGTTGCATATAGCTGTAGTTTATTCATTTTTAATGCTGTAAATACATTGCGCAAATATACCACAGTTTTTCCATTCCGTTGTTGCTGTGTATTGGAAATGTTGCTTGTTTTTGGCTTTTTTTTTTTTAAACAATGAAGCTACTGACATTCTTGTTAATATATCCTGCTATTCATGTATGTGAGTCCTGAGGTTTTGGTGTTATTTTATTTTTATTAATACACTCTAAAGCAGAATTCCTGATCATAAGAGAAGGTGAACGTTCAAGTTAACTTTTACCATCTCTCATATACCCACCAGGAGTTCATTTACGTTCCTGTTGACTGAGATGTAGATGCTCACTAACATTTTGTGTTATCAGTCTTTTTATCTTTCGGCAATCTTGTGGGTGTTTCCTGTTAATTTATTGGGATCTGAGAAGCTTTTCCTAAGTACCAGTTAAGTTGAGCAATTTTCATATTCATCATTTGGATTTTAGCTATTGTGAAGTACTTGTTCGAGTCTCTCCTATTTTGTCTTTTTGTTGGGTTAAACTTTTTTTTCCTTTTTCATGTTTTAAAGAGTTATTTTTTTATGAGACTTGGTCTTGCTATGTTGTCCAGGCTGGTCTCAAAACTCCTGGGCTCAAGCAATCCTTCTGCCTCAGCCTCCCAAATAGCTGGGATGACAAGTATGCACCACCATGTCTGGCTATTTTAATTTTAATAGAAGTTATTTTATATTCTCGCTATTCTTCCATTCCATTTGCCATTTTTATAGGGTCCTTTTTATGAATCTTTGTGAGAAGCACTCTTTTTTTTTTTTTTTGAAACGGAGTTTTGCTGTTGTTACCCAGGCTGGAGTGCAATGACATGATCTCGGCTCACCGCAACCTCCACTTTCTGGGTTCAAGCAATTCTCCTGCCTCAGCCTCCCGAGTAACTGGGACTACAGGTGCGCACCACCATGCCCAGCTAACTTTTGTATTTTTAGTAGCGACGAGGTTTCACCTTGTTGACCAGGATGGTCTCGATCTTTTGATCTCGTGATCCACCTGCCTCAGCCTCCCAAAGTGCTGGGATTATAGGCGTGAGCCACTGCGCCCGGCCAGCACTCTTGTTTTAAGACCCTACAGCACTGGGTGCTATAGCTCACATCTGTAACCCCAGTACTTGAGGAGGCTGAGGTGGGAGGATCGCTTGGGCCCAGGAGTTTGAGACCAGCCTGGGCAACATAGGGAGAACTTGTCTCAACAACAACAGCAAAACAGCCAGGCATGGTGGCACAAGCCTGTGATCCCAATACTTGGGAAGCTAATGTGGGAAGATTGCTTGGACCCAGGAGTTGGGGCTGAAGTGAGCCTTGATCTTAGCACTCCAGCCTGAGTAATGGAGCAAGACCCTGCCTCCAAAAAAGAAAAGGAAAAACAAAAAGAAAATATTTTCTTTTAAAAGCTCTGTAGTTTGCCCTTCACATTTGGATTTTTGTTTCATCTGCAGTTGATTTATATATATATGGTGAGTTTGCAGTCCAGTTTCACAGCATTTCCCAGTGCTCTACACCACCGTGCCTATAAATTATTTATGCATGAGTCTGTTTCTTTCTTAGCAGCTGATTTCTCTTTCTCAGGCAGTTTTGATCTATTAATCTATTTGTTACTACCTGCACCAGTACCACACTTTTTTTTCCTTTTAGAGAAAGGGTCTTGCTATGTTGCCCAGTTTGGTCTTGTACTCCTGACCTCAAGCAGTCCTCCAGCCTCAGTCTTGGGATTACAGGCACGAGCCACTGCCTGGCCCACATTCTCTTTACAATAGTTTTTGATAACTGGTAAAGCAAGTCCTTATGTTTTCCCTCACCACTACATGTAATTATTTTTCAGAAGTTTCTAATTATTTTTTTTGGTATTCAAATTATTACATAAGGATTCACCTATTGGATTTCACAGAAAACGTGATAGGATATTAATTGGGATTATGAAAAATTGATAAATCAATGTGGGGAAAATATCTCTTATTTTGCTTTTTTTTTCTTTCAAGTCTGATGGGTAGCTTGCTGGCATCCTAACAAAGTTTGAGGGAGACACACTGCACACATGTGCCTGAAAACCTGATCATCATGCTTATGAACTACAAAGGGATCTTATTATGCTTTCTTTAGCGATTTGTTAAGTATATTTATTCCCATTGGGATTTTCCATGTCTTCTCTTAAGGTTTTTCTAGGTACTTTATAGGTACTACTGTAAATGGTAATCTACTTCATTCTACCCTTTTGTTCCTGGTAAAATGAATACAAATGTGTGGGGGTTTTTTTCCTTTTTATTAATTTTTGTAGAGATAGTGTCTCACTATGTTGCCCAGGTGGGTCTTGAACTCCTGGACTCAAGTGGTCCTCTCACTTTGGCCTCCCAAAGTGCTGACAGCTTTTGGCCACCATTTCTGGCCCAAATATATATTGTTTCTTTTTTTTTTTTTTTTTGAGACAGAGTTTTGCTCTTGTTACCCAGGCTGGAGTGCAATGGTGCGATCTCAGCTCACCGAAACTTCTGCCTCCTGGGTTCAGGCCTCCTGAGTAGCTGGGATTACAGGCACACGCCACCATGCCCAGCTAATTTTTTTTGTATTTTTAGTAGAGATGGGGTTTCACCATGTTGACCATGATGGTCTCGATCTTTTGATCTCGTGATCCACCCGCCTCGGCCTCCCAAAGTGCTGGGATTACAGGCTTGAGCCACCGTGCCCAGCCTTATTTTGTTTCTTAATTTGTTTTTGTTTTTGTTTTTGAGCCACAGTCTTGCTCTGTCATCCAGGCTGGAATGCAGTGGCACAATCACAGCTCATGGCAGGCTCAACTTCCTGGGTTCAGTGATCTTCTCACCTCAGCCTCTCAAATAGCTGAGACTACAGGCATGCACCACTATGTTCAGCTAATTTTTGCACATTGTTGTAGAGGTGGGGTCTCACTCTGTTGCCCAGGCCGGTCTGAAATCCCTACACTCCTCTGGCCTTGGCCTCCCAAAGTGCTGGGATTCTAGGCATTAGTCAGTGGGCCTGGCCCCAAATGTCTTAAATTTTTTTTTTTTCAATAATTTTTGTTGAATCTTTCTAGTTCTAGTAATTTCTCTGTAGCTTTGTTTGGCTTCTCTTAAATGTAATCATGTCATCTGTGAATAATGACAATGTTTATTTTATTATTTTCAATTTTTATGCCTTTTCTTTTTCTTGCTTTATCATGCTGGCTAAACTCTCCATTGCTGAATAAAAGTCAAGCCAGTGGATATTTTTATTTTATTTCTGATCTCAGAAAGGAAGCTTCAACATTATGCCATTAAATGGGAAGTTTGCCATAGGATTTTATACAGATATTTTATAAGCATATAGATATTCCCTTTGGTGAGGGAGGGATTCCTGCCCTAGGGTTATGAGGTTGGCCCGATACATAACATCTGAGACTGGACAGAGGAAATTGACAGCAGTTTGTTAGTCACATAGACTTATATAGCCCTGGGGAAGACAATACATTGACAGGCAGGGCCATGTGATGGTTGCACTTGGGACAGAGTAAACATGGACTGTGGAAGGTAGTCTTTTATGTAGTATCATAAAAGTGGGATGCCCCTGGTTCCCACAGGAGGATGTGATTGGCTTGTGTGAATAATTCTGTAGACTGGCAAGGAACTGAAACTCAATATTTAAGCATAAGCAGAAATTGTGCCTGGTCACTTTAATAAAGTATTTGGTTAAGGGACCTTATGTATGGAAGTAGAATGGGGAGAACTTGTGATTAGGCTATTTAAGGTCCTCCCAATTTTACCAGAACCAATGCAGTACATAATATCGAACCTCAGTTCTAGGCCATATACTCCCCCCATTTATTTCCTGGTATTTACAGAGGGTGTGTGTCTGTCTGTGTCTGTGTCTATGTGTCATCTTTTTGATCATGAATAGATTTTTTTTTTTTTAAGACAATTTTGCTCTTGTTGCCCAGGCTGGAGTGTAAGGGCATGATCTCAGCTCACTGCAACCTCCAACTCCCTGCTTCAAGTAATTCTCCTGCCTCAGCCTCCTGAGTTGCTAGGATTACAGGCATGTGCCACCATGCCCAGCTAATTTTTGTATTTTTAGTAGAGATGGGGTTTCACTATGTTGGTCAGACTGGTCTGGCACTCCACCTACCTCGGCCTCCCAAAGTGCTGGGATTACACTTTCGGAGGCTGACCACCATGCCTACCCTTAGATTTTTTTTTTAAATATACTTTTTCTTATTTATCTAGTGAAAGCATAATTCCTTTAATCTGTTAGGTGTTGAGTTCTAAGAATTGATTTTCTAATAGTAAAATAACCTTACTTTCCTAGGCAGAAGTCTGCTTAGTGATGGTATATTATACTTTTCACATGCTGTAGTATGTGGTTTGCTAATACTTTGTTTTATTGCTTTTGTGTTTATGAATTACCTTGGCCTGTGGTTTTTCTTTGTAATACTGCCCTTGCGAGTTTTCTTGTAGAGTTAGGCGAACTTCATAAAATGGATTACAGAGTGCTACTTATTTCCCTGAAGGAATTTGTGCAATATTGGAATTAAAGTATATTTCTTGAATATATGGTACCAGTCAGGGACTGGGCTTTTCTTTGTGGGAAGATTTAAACTCTGGATTCAATTTTCTTAAAGGTTTATTTATAGGACTCTTCCACTTGATAGACTTAGGTAGACAGTTTCTTTTTTTCTAGGAATCTGTACATTTTATATACATTTTCAATTTTATTGATATAGGTAGTTGATAATAACCTCTTGGAAATTGTCTGTGTCATCTAAAGTTATGGAATTTTCTTTTTCATTCCTGGTGCTGATTTTATAGCTTCTCTATTTCTCTTTCCTCAATATGGATTTTCAATTTTATTGGTTTATTTGAAAAAAAAATTAATAATTTTATTTTATTAATTTTATTCTATTTGAGCATATTTTACTATGCCTTATCAATGTTCTGAATACTTTATTGTGGTAAAATATACATAACAAAATTTGATACTTTAATCATTCAAATACATAATTCTGTGGCATTAAGTACATTCATTGTTTTCTGTAACCTTCACTACTATTTCCAGAATTTTTTCATCATCCTGAGCAGAACTTCTTTACCCATTAAGCAAGAACTACTCCCTATTGCCCCTTCCTCCTGGTCCCTAGTAACCCCTTTCCTACTTTCACAAATAGAACATTTTATTTGCCACAATTTGAAAACAGATTATTGGACTGGTGGTTCATATCCATCAGGTCATTGAACTTTAGCACTGACCAAGTGGCTTTCCCAGAACTACTACCTTCACCATGAAGCTCCAATGAATTTTCCCAGTTCAAATCTGGGCTTCTTCCGCATTTTTACTTTTCTACTAAAGCCATCATGGAGAGGATAGATTGGCAAGCCTTTTCTATATCTTTTCCAATGCTATCCAGAATCAATGTATTGACCACTTCTTTCAGGTGATTTGTCTGCACCTCTCAGGTCATGATTTCCAGCATCTTCCTCTGGATTTGGCAGACCAGTTGGTGCTGAGCATAAGAGATCTTCTGTATCTGATTGTTGGTTTTTTAGTAAAACCAACACAGAACAGATGAAGCAAATAACCATCAGTAGTAGTCTTGATGTCGACCTGAGCTTTAATCATGGTCTGCCATTTTTTGACCATGGAACACATTTTGTCAAGAGGTAAGACCCATGCCATGAAAGTTAGGCAGTTTTTGCCCTGAACATCTTCAGTAATCAGCTTAAATTTTCTAAATGCAATTTCATCATTCTGCAAGTCAACAAGACTCACTTCAAACACGTGACCCTTGAGACGATCAGATGCAATTTTTGTTTCTTGGGTTCTGGTGACTAGTGTCTTTCCAATATTTCTTAGATTGGACATAGCAGAAGCTTTCATATCATACCTATCTTTCTAAGAAAATGGATCAACCACCTTCTTGGCTCCCTTTGCTACCTTTGGTAAGGTGCTTGTTCTTGACAACCACTGTTGCGCTGCTCCTCTTTCCTTCTGTCCTTGTGAATTTGCCTATTCTAGAACCTCATGCAAATAGAATTATACAATATTTGTTTTTTTCTGGTCTGACTTATTTCCTTTAGCATAATATTTTCAAGTTTTATCCATAGCTTAGTGTTGGAAACAAGTTTTCAGTGCTGCAAAACAAATAGCACTCAAACATAAATTTTCTCAGCAAGGCAAATTTATTTCTATAGAAGAGTGTGTCTGGTGGATGGAGCAATGGCAAGAGCATACTGGACAAGGGAGGGGAAGAAGGTCCTGTACCTGATGTAGTTAGTCCCTACTGCTGTATCTTTCCCCTATTGGCTAGGGTTGGACACCACAGTCTTAGTTAATTCTGATAGGCTATTTTAAAGAGCCAGGTACGTTATGATCCAGAGAGGCTGGGTGAGTAGTTTTGGTGGGAAGGATGGTTACAGAGCAGGTGACAAAGGATGACTAAGGACAAAGCAGGTGATAGAGGTTAGGAGGGGGTTGTTTACTGAAACCAGGGGCAAGGAGACGTAAGTAAAGAACAAGGAAATTAAACTTTAAAATGGTGAACTAAGAATAGGGAAGCTGAACATACCGACATTGGTTCTTTGAAGCGCAATTTACTGTATCCCACAGTAGCATATATCAGACTTCACTTCTTATGGGTAAATAATACTCCATTGTAAGGGTACAGCACATTTTATTTATACATTGATCTTTTAATGAATATTTATGTTGCCCACTCTTTAGCTATTATGAATAATACTGCTATGAACGTTGGTGTACAAGTGTCCGTTTGTCCCTGTTTTCAGTTATTTTGGGGTGTATAGGTGTAGAATGGCTGTTAGCTTTTTGGTGAACTACCAAACTGTTTACCACAGCAGCTCTGCCATTTTGCATTCCATCAGCAATGTACAAGAGTTCTAATTACACCACATCCTGGACAATATTTATTTTTCCTTTTATTTATTTAATTTTTTGGATGAAAGCCATTGCTAGTGGGTGTGAAGTTATAATCTCATTGCGGTTTTGATTTGCATTTCCCAAATGATGTTGAAAATCATTTAATGTGCTTGTTGGTTTTTTTTTTTTTTTTTTTTTTTAATCTTCTTTGGAGAAATGTTGG